AAGAGGGGTATAATGTGGGTGGCATGGGCTGCGGGAGTAAGAGGGAACAGGGTTTGGTACTGGTGAACAGAGTTGTCCTACTGATGAACTAGGGGACTGCATGGTTCGCTATAGGTTAAGGGGGAACATAGTTCAGGGAACAGGGAACTTCTATTGATGTTCTACTGGGTAAGGGAAACGGTGTTCAGGAAAACAAGGTATTTCTATTGATGTTGTAGTGGGTAAGGGAAACAATGGTCAGGGGAACAGGGGATGTCTATTGATGTTCTAGTGGGTACGGGGAACAATGGTTAGGGAAACAGGAATCTGCTAATGATGTTCTACGGGGTTGTCAAAGTCAGGAAAAATAAAAATGAAAATGTTTGTTCAGGATGCGAAGGCTGGTGTGTTCGAAGGAGTCGGAAGCAGAATCTCGTGTAGGAACAAAGTGTCCAATGTCTTGAAAGGGGGTCTGCAGCGGTCTTGATCAGGTCTTTGGAGTAGGTGGTAGAAGCGGTCTTCAGCAGCTACGATAGGTAGAAGTCCAAGAAGCATAGTAGTAGTTCAAGTGTCAAAGTCCAAGTGCTAGGGTGCGTCCGGTACACGAACTGCAATGAGGTCTGATCTAGAAGCAAGGAAGTCACAAACCGATGCAAGGATCCATGTCACAAGTTGCTGCTCCAGTAAGTCCGCGAGTCGGGATGCCGGCCAATGAAACAGCATGGTGGCCAAACCAGCTGCATAATCTCCATGAACAGTGAGGCAGCAGGCCATCGTCCTCGTGCGCTTGCCATTAGATCCTTTATCGCCGGCGTCACGCAAGTTCACAAGCGTTGGACAAGAGAGACAAGGTGGTGGAGAGGACAGATGGGACAAGGCTAGGCAAGGGCAAGGGCAGATCAGACATCAGGAATGAGGATCAAGGGAAGGGTGGACTGGGTTCAAGGGTGTGTGTAAAGCAGGGTTGCAAGGGTTTAGCGGGGGTTTATGCCATAGTGATATAGGTATCTAGGACGTAGGATTAGCACGATTATAAGCGCGGACAAGTTTCATGGCATTCTTAAGATTAGAGAGAGGTTCCCATGTAGATTCTTCGTCGGGGTATCCGGTCCATTTGACTTTGTATTCAGTGATTGGTTCCGGATGATCAGATACCTGAGTGGTTCGTCGGCCGATGATGATTTCGACAACGAATTCAGGGCCTGTGGGTAGCATGATTGGTGGAGGTCTAGGATATGGGCGGTCGGCAAACTTGAGCGGGGATTCATGGTATTCTTTTAGGTACTCGACATGGAAGACTGGGKGGACACGACTCATGTCAGGGGGAAGTTGGAGTTTGTAGTTGACGGGGGAGGTTTGTTCAATGATGGGGAAGGGACCGAGCCACTTGTTCGAGAGTTTCTTGGACAAGCCCTGTTCGAGTTCAAAGGGTTTGGCAGAAAGCCAGACTTTGTCCCCTACTTTGAATGACACGTCACGTCTGTATTTGTTAGTCTTGTTGGCTTGTTGTTCTTGTGTTCTTTCAAGGGCTTCGGTTGCTTCTCTGAGGAGTCTGTTCATTGTTGCTACCCATTCATTGAGAGAGGGGCAAGGGGTGGAGGGGCTGAGCTGCGAGGGAAGCAAGAAATCAGAGGGCAAGCGGGGATGGTAGCCAAGGTCGAGGTAGAAAGGGGACATGCCAATGGAGGGGCAGACAGCGTTGTTGTAGGCAATCTCGGCGGCTGTGAGCAACTGATCCCAATCGTGTTGGTGTGGATGACAGTACTTTCACAGGATTCTTTGGAGTGTATCGTTCATCTTCTCTGTTTGTCCATCGGTCTGTGGGTGGAATGCAGTGCTATACTTGAGCGTGGTTCCGTAGGCCGTGAAGAGATGTTTCCAGAATTGTGAGAGGAAGCGAGGATCACGGTCACTGATGATGTTCTCGGGAAGGCCGTGATGGCGAGCAACATGGTCGAAGAAGAGTGTGGCGACGTCTTTGGCACTGTGCAAGGTCGTGCAAGGGACGAAGTGGGCACGTTTGGTCAAGCGGTAGACAATGACGTAGATGCAATCATACCCGCGGTCGGTCTTGGGGAGGCCGCACACGAAGTCCATGGAGATGGACTGCCACCGGTGAGTTGGGATGGGCAATGATTGGAGCTTGCCGGGTTTGGCCCGGTTCGAGGGGTTGACGGCTTGACACATGGGGCACGAACGAATGTATGCCTTAACGTCGGTGAGTAGGGAAGGCCAGTAGAAGTAGCGGGAGATGGTGTCGAAGGTTCTCTGGAAACTGAGATGTCCTACGGTCTTGGCGTCGTGGTGCTCGGCCAAAAGCTGAGTACGGAGGCCTCGTGCKTCGGGGATGCAAAGTCGGCGAGTGCCTTTGGTATCGATGTAGAGGAGATTGTTGTGGAGGGAGTAGTCCGGAAGTGGGTCAAGATCGCGGAGTTTGTTATAAATGGTGGCGAAGTCTGAGCAGGAGAGATAGCCTTGGGTGTATCGATGATGAAGTGATGGAAGGAGTTGAATATGAGTCATGGCGGCGTAGACTTTCTCGGGGGGCTTGTGGTC